CACATCCACTTTCTTCTTCACATCCCCCAAAAAGGGTAAAAAAATCATCAAACAAATATCGAATTTTCATCAAATTTTGCATTTTGGATAAATCAAATGATGAATTTTTTGAGTCGGTAAAAATTCAAAAGAAAGAATCCTTTATTCGGATTTTTGTTGTGAGTACTTCCGGGCCGCATTAAGGATATTGCCTTGCAAACCAATTAACAATCCAACATTGCATAGCATAGAACATTTTACAATTCTGGTTCTTCCAATATTTTCACAATTCAAGCTTCATTCCATTCTACTCTCATATCTAGACCCACACACTCACAGTCATAATCATACCGGATTTCATTATTCTAGCTATATTGCTATATTAGGTACGTCATTGACTAAATTCTAGGCACAGTTATCTTTACACCAAAATCCACAATTCCTTCTCATTATAAAAAAAAATTTAGCACCATTTAGTACTTTACGTAAACTATAAAAAAGGCGTTGTCTAAATTCTTCACACTCTTAATGGGCCCGTATACTAAAATTCATAATTTCACCTCTATTCCTATACTCTATAGCACATTTAGTAATTTTCATGCACCATACAAACCACCGCATTGTCCACATGAAAGACACGAAAATCAAAAACAAAAATGTCATGACACGACTATCAAAACTCATAATTCAAGTTCTATGTCTCTCTGCTCTCTCTACACTTTCCACGGGATTCCACAAACATCCCATTGTCTAAATGTTTCACACTCTTAATGTACCCATATACCGAAATACTTAATTCCTCTTCTCTTCCGACACTCTATACCAAATTTATACTTTCCTTGTATGCGTTTCTAAATTTATCTCTTTATCTAAATGCCGTATACTCGTACTAATCCTAATAACAATACGTACATTTCTAACTGTTTTCCTATACTATATACCTAATTTAGTACCATATAGAATTTCACGTACTACCACTCTATGCCGAATTTTGTACCATTTGGCAGCACTCTTATGCTAGGAACACAATTGGAGCGAACGACGAATTTTTTCGCGGCGTATGTTCGTCGTCAAAAATAAAAACCATATGTGTATATGGAAGTGCACACAATCACGGCGCCGGCGAAAATTTCGTCGGTCGCCGCGAACTCAATTAGCTTTATTTCTATTTCATACGCCGGCGAACGGCGACAAAACAGTACAAGGTGGCCATACTTGTACGAATTTTATGTGTTTTAGTAAATAAAGTTACTTTTTACTTAAAAATTTGTTATGGTCACTCTACTATCTGTTATTCGTATAAAAAAAACATAAATAATTTGTTTATTTATTTGTGCACTTGCGCCTGAGTGAAGATGGATATCAGTGAATTTATAATAGAAAAGATGGACATAACTGAAATTATAAAGAATTATGAGTTCTTGTATAATTTTCATTGTAGTCAACAAATGAGCAAAAAGTAAACAACTTCATCAGCTGTTTTATAATTTCGTCGGTATTGTGTTCCATACGACGAATTTTCGCGGCTCATTTTGTCGCCGCGTAGGGCGAAATTCGTCGTTCGCTCCAATTGTGTTCCTAGCATTACACTTATGTATACATTTCCAAAACATCTCATTTTGTCAACCAGTTCCAAAAAAAAGCTTTTACTGGAATAATTTTGGTACAATATTTAGTTACTTTTATTATTTGTTGTACCTTACTAATATGAATTCCTAAAAATATTCACCTTTTTACAAACACCTTTTTGTTTATCATTGACAATCCTTCGTACAACCTTTTAGAGCTTATTACACTACGCGACAAATTTCAATTTTTTCAACAATTACGGGGAAAATCCAGCAGATTATGAAAGTAGACACATGCATCTGTATTTTGAAAGATTATATCGAATAGTGGCCAAAATTAAGGACGCAAATTCCCCCTCTTCCACACTTTCAGCATATTTTCAATTAAGATTCTTCGGAATTGGCGTAGTTTAGGCATACATTGGTATATTAGGTATATTGCAGATAAAAATACGACGAATATTTTAATTGAAAACTTCCTTTAAGCAGGATCGTACCAAGCCAAAATATCCTAAAATAATTATTTTTCATAGGCCAGCAATTCATATATGTTAAAAACACATTTTAGGAACAAGGCCGTACTTTATCTGAGTTTATGCAAAAATCTCCTACAAAACATTGTTTAAGAAGAGTTACGTCAAAGACAAAGATATTCCTCATCAAATTTAACTATAAGTCACCGAAGGAAAGAAACCTTATATTTCCACTGCAATTCAAAAAAAAAAACTATTTGCATCAAAGTTTTCAAAAAAGGTCAAACATATTCTGTAATTGTTATACCCTCAGCTACATTGCTACGGAAGGTAATATCATTTGATAAGTACAAAAGTGCCTCATCGAAATAACGGTTTTAAACGCTAGGTCTCTTTGAACCAAATCTGGATCAGAACATTTGGAGTCGATCTCGTCCGTTCGTCTATTTTGCTGGTTTGCACGATAACTATTCAAGGGAGTATCTGAGTTGGTTAAATTTGCTACATCGCAATGTTTTTATCAAACTTAGATCGAGTTCGGAGATGGGCAATATCGGCCCACTACTCCACAAAAGGTCAAAAAATAATAGATATATAATTTACCTGATAGAACAAGAAAGGATAATCCAATTTCGTTCAAACAATTGCAATATCGTGCCACTCCATCACATACCTCACCCACAAAATGTCAACATTTTGAATAATTATAGTTCTTATGAAATGTAAAATAAGAGTCAGATTGCCTTCAAATTGCACCAACTCTCAAAAATGGGAAATAATACTCAGATTCTCACTCAAATGCAGAATTTCACAAATCAAAATTCAAATTTGAAGTTTCTAATGGGTACCACCGTCTGTGACAAAAAAATTGCCTATGCAGGTATTTGTGTGATTTTAGCCACATTATTCATCGCATTTTTTTCAAATTTCGTATTTTAGGTTCCTAGGTTTCAGGTCTTCGTATAGTCCTATACAAATTTACCATCCTATATTCGGTATTTTGATGACTTTAGTAATTTATTTAACCATTATTTTTTTGAAAACTCTTATATGCTATATTATTGTCTTTGTAGATCCACGTCATAGTATAGTCCCCATGTAACGGTACATCCCTATAATAGTTTCTAACCTATGCTAGGAAATTGTATATTCAGGTCCACGTCTTCATATAGGCTCCAATATAACGGTACTTCCCTATAGTCGATATTTTAATTATTTTAGCGGCATTTAATGATTTCAAATCTCGTATATTAAATTCCTAATCGGGACTACAGCCTATGACCGAAAATTGCGTATGCAGGTCCACTTCTTAATAAAGCCGCCATATAATGGTAAAATATATTCGTTAGTTTGATGATTTTAGCAATATTTTTCACCAGTATTGTTTCAAATATGTTTTTGAATATCGTAATGACCTATGACAAAAATTGTATATACAGGTCCACTTGTTCATATAGGCGCCCATATAACAGTGACTCCCAATATTCGGTAGTTTTATGAATATAGCAGTAGTTTTTAAGGAAATTGTTTTGAAAATTTGAATTTATTGTTTTTATACCCATACTATGGAGGGTATATTAATTTTAGCGTCATTATTCACCGGATTAGTTTCAAATTACGCATTTAGAGTTCGTAATGGGAACTACAGTCTGTGAGAGAAAATTGTGTATGCAGGTCCAGGTCTTTGTATAGGCCCCATATATCAATACCTTCCTACATTCGGTATTTTGACGATTTTAGGTGCAATACTCACCGAAATGGTTCGAGATGTCGTGTTTAAAGTTCGTAATGGATACTACAGCCTATGACAGAAAATTGTCAGTGCAGGTTCACGTCTTCGTATAGCCCCCATATAACGGTACCTCCCGATATTCGGTACTTTGTTGAATGTAGCAACATTATTAACAGGAATTCTTTCAAATTTAGTATTTGATGTTCATAGTGGATACTACAGCCTGAGACAGAAAATTGTCTGTGCTGGTCTACGTCTTCGTATAGCCCCCATATAACGATACCTCCCGATATTCGGTATTTTAATGATTTTAGCTACATTATTCACCGATTTTTTTTAAGTTTCGCATTTGAATATATTAATGGCTTATGACAAACAAAGCCTATATAGGTTCACGTCGTAGAGACCCCAATATAACGGCTATATTCTGCATTTTTAAGATTTCAACAGAATTTTTTACGTATTTCATTTTTTTAACATTTCCAAATTCGTTCCAAATGTTGAAGAGCATTCCAAGTTCGTCCCGGCCGAACTTACTGCTTTTTTAACTTGTTTAATTTGGTATTGAAATTGTCCAATTACATATACCCCTACATCTATATCACCAAAATGTGGATTTATGGTGTTTTATATGTGATCAATATGGCTCATATACAAATTTGACTGCACGGAAATAAATAACACTAAAATTTACCTCTATATCCCAATTCAATTTCCTGATCGACTGACCATTTTCCAAATTAAGTATATATTTCGAGGGTATCATAATAAATACACATTTTAATTTTTTTCGTACCGCTTATTATAAAGTTACCTATATCGGAAACTTCCCAGTGACTAAAACTAGTATTGACTTCGTCTCTGAACAATGTGAATCGGAATACCATTTGAATTCAAGATTTCAACAGAGAATTTTCAAACATTTACGATACATCTATTTTTGTCTCAAATACCCATATAGATGAGACTCGTGTTGCTCTAGCACTGGAACCATAACATTATTAAAATGTTAGATAACAAAAAAAAAATAAAATACAAATTTGGTAATGACCATAACCACAAACTGGATATTCGGTTCCAGTTTTTAACAATGAAAACAAAAAATTCAAATATATATAAATCGATTTCTTAATTGACCCAAACAACTATCATAGCAAGTCTACTAATTTCGTTAAATACCTACTCTCTATATATATTTCAACATTATAATTTTCAAATATATTTCTATTCATTTCTACTTAATTGCAGCTACGAGTTGGGAGATGGTTCGAAGGCAACACAAGATGGCATTTTGAAACACGTCGATGACAGCCACGAGGGTGAAGCAATCCAGGGAAGATTTGCATTCGTTTCCGATGATGGTGAGGAATATTCCATTTCCTACACCGCCGATGAGAATGGCTATCGCCCCGTTGGCGCTCACTTACCCACACCACCACCAATTCCAGAATCAGTATTGAAAACCTTAAAATATTTGGAAGAACATCCCTATAATCCAGAAAATGATCAAAAGAAACATCGTTAAACACCGGATCCAATGAAACCCGAAATGTATTTTTTAGTCAATAACAAAAACAAAAAAAAAAGGAAATGTGATCTAAAGCGTTATACGAAATAAATAAAAATAGTATTGCTGTTAGGGTGAAAATCATACGCACAACCATACACACACCAATGCATAGCATATAAATCCCACACATATATTTACATACATAACTAAGCACATCTATAGAATTATTCGACTGATAATAAACAAAGAATGAAAAACATTATTAAAATATTTCAAATTTATTCGGAATTATTTGTGATGATGATGGTTGGCCGGTTGCTTAGCCGGTTAGTGGGTTGGTCGGTTGGCTGTTCGCTTAAAAACAAAAGAAATCGCCCATGTTACGCTTTATGCAAGAATGAGCCGAAGAAGAACTATGCTCAAGAATGAAAAGTTTATTCACCTGCCGGCAGTTCTTGTCTCTTCTCGCCAATAGACCATATCGTAAAATCTTCATTAATAGTTTTTTTTGTTTAAAAATTTGTATTTGTGTGTCCATTGTTTCTGTTGGCATTTGAATGAATTTGTTATTCGCGTCATAATTTGATATCATTCGCTATATTAAGTTATTATTTTATTTCACTTTTTTCCTCACCGTTATTTGTTCTACAGAAATTGACAAAATAATTAGAAGAAGAAATAAAACCCAGTTGAATATGAGGCTATAGTCGACTTGGCATTACCTTACATTTTATAATCTCCACCATGTAAAAACTTCATTCATGGCTAAATCGGATTTCCTTAAAATCCGTAAAATTTGAAAGTTCCTTTAAATAGATGAAATTTTTTTGATAGTAATGAGGATTCAAAATGACGAAAATCAGAAGGTATTATTATATAGGACCTATAAAAAAACAACATTGAAAATGTTGTGTAGGGAATTAACTATGCCGTGTCAATCTCTACATATCAATTGCAGAAACGGATAAAGCACGGATTATGAATCCGAACTTTCGGATCGAATAACCAGTTAACCGGGTATTTCGCCAACGGAAAAAATACTTCGCCATAATCAGGTTAAAACAAGTAAAAGTATCGGTCGGTTTTGCCGACAGATATATACCCTCAGCCAATGTTCGATTATTTAAAAATATTTTGACTTCTGTTATGATTATTTAAATGTTTAAACCTTTATGCAGTTGGTTCCGAAGGAATTGGCCAATATTGGCCACTTCGTGTCGGACCTAAATAAATATTATATAAATATCGCGACGTGCCAGGTTTGGACTGTGTTGTGTGAATTTTGGGATTTACCAAGTCTTGAATAGAATCGGATGTCAATATTTCTTTTTATGAGCTTCATGGATTTTCAAAATTTTGAGTCTCTGTGAGGGAAGTTGCCAAAAAAGAATGGACCGATATATCCCATCTTCACAACGGATCTTTTGTTAGTGGATATAATGGGATGTGTGAAATATAAAGAGAACCTGATGCTTGTTTCGGATTTTATAAGCGTTTTGGTTATTCAAAACGTTGACTTTTTCTGGGGGAGAAAGCAGGAGGAATGGTCCGATATCTATGGTTTTTTAACAGATCCTGTGTTGATAGACATATTCAGATGTGCCAAGTCTAAATGGAATCCGATGTTAATTTCGCGTTTTATGAGCTTAATGGATATTCAAATTTCGACTTTTGTGGAGGAGGTACCAGAAGGAGTAGACCGATATATTCCATCTTTACACCAGATCTTGGGTTTATGAAAATATTGGGATGTGTGAAATTTTAAGACAATCGGATTCTTACATCACATTTTATGAGAGTTGTAATTATTCAAAATGTTGACCATTTATGGGGGAGGTACTTGATGGAGTGGACCGATATTGTCCATTTTCACACCTGACCTAACACTGACACACGCACGGATTATCCTTTCTCTTTCTGCGCAAAAAATATATTTTTTGAAAATTTCGACCATTTGTGGGGAGGTACCAGAACGAATGGAACAATATATTCCATCTAGACCTTGCGTTAATATAAATATTGGGATGTGTGAAATTTGAAGACAATCGGACTCTTACATGACATTTTATGAGGGTTGTAATTACTCAAAATGTTGACCATTTGTGGGGGAGGTACCAGAAGGTGTGAATCGATATTTCACACCTGACCTAGTACTGACGCAAATATTAGGATTTGCAAAGTTGGAGCAATATCGGATTATCCTTTCTCTTTCTGTGCAAAAAATATATTTTATTTTGAAAATTTCGACCTATTGTGGGAGAGGTACCAGAAGGAGTGGACCGATATTGCCCATCTCTGAACTCGATCTAAGTTTGACAAAAATCTTACAATGTACCAAGTTTGGACCAAATCGGATACTTCCTTCGAGAGTTATCATGCGCACCAGCCAGACAGACAGACAGACGGACGGACATCGCTAGATCGACTCCAAATGTTCTGAACCGGATTTGGTACAAAAAGGCTTAGGGTCTAAAACCGTTATTTCGAATAAGCACGTTTTGACCGTATTAAATTGTATATACCCTCTGTAGCCATATGGCTAAGGGTATTAATACATACCCATAATTAACATTTCTGGTCTATCCGAGGATAGCCCTAAACTCAGCAAACGGTCATACTCCCCATACTCTTTATTATGGGTGTTATGACCAAAAAGCGTATATAATCCCCATAATTGCAATGGGAATTATATCCGATACGGAGTGAATTATCCAATGGGAACTCCAAATATCAAATTACATCTGATTTGTTTGGAAATTGGGACCAAGACCTTCGGATGCCCCTAATCAGTAGAACCCGTTATATGTGTGCCAAAACTTATCGTGCACTGTTTCCTATAGCAAAAATCTATCTGATATCGGATAAAGATATATATATATATATATATATATATATATATATATATATATATATATATATATATATATATATATATATATATATATATATATATATATATATATATATATATATATATATATCGGAGCTACATCCTAATCTGAACCGATCTTGACATAATTTGACAGAGGTATTTTCGAGCAGTATCTGATGTCCGGTACCAAATATCATTCATGTGGAGTGCACATAACGCATGTGAGGGACTTAAACCCCCAAATGGGATGAAAGATATATGTATATGGGAGCTATAGCTATATCTGAACCGATTTGTTTGTGCTTGCTTCAAGACTAAATTCGATGTTATGTACGAAAATTCAGGTCATTTGGAATTATATTGGCCATTTTGTGCACAATTAACCCGAAATCGGTTGGGGCTATATCCAAATCTGAACCGATCTTCATAAAATTTGGTAGAGGTATTTCTGGGCTGTATCTGATATCTGGTACCAAATATCACTGTTGGGAAGTGCTTAATACCCATGTGAGGGACTTAAAAACCAAATCGGATGAAACATATATATGGGAGATATTTCTAAATCTGATCCGATTATCACCAATTTCAATAGGGTTCATCCTTGGGCCAAACAAATATTGTTTTCAAAAATTCTCAATCGAATAATAAATGCGACCTGCATTTTGTTCACAAGAAGGCATGAACGGACGCACAGACGGACTGACATGCATAATTCGACTCATAAAGTGATTCTATGAAGATCCTCAAAAGTAACTATGAGTCGCTTCTTTCTCCATGTTATAAACAAATGCACAAAGAAATAATATCTACTATGTGGCGTATGGTATAAAAACACATATAAAATTCCTAAAAATGCTTGAAATTCAGTGGTACGATTCAAATAATTTAATATTTGACTGTGACTGTGCATCAAATGGTCCATCCGCTTATTCCAATTTTGACATACTCTTTCCAACATTTCGGCCGGTATCTCACGAATTAATGACTCAATGTTGTCTTCCAATGTGTCAATTGAAGCGATCTCCTCTGTATATATATGAGTTAAATTATAGACCCACATTAAATAGTCTAAACTCGTTAAATCGCACGATCTAGGGGGCAAATTCAACGGTCCCGTACGTGAAATAAAATATTCGCCGAATTGGCTCTATCAGATTTTTTTGTAAACAAAGGATACATGGTGAGATAAAAAACTGCAACAAAGTCAAACGCCATAATTTTTACATATTTTTTAATTTTATAGAATAAAAGCAAAAAATGTCGGAAAAAGCATCAAAGTTTGGAATAAGTTTAGATTTCGGCATTGATTCTGATGCGAGTGGAGAGCGATAATCGCCTCTTTGGCAAGTAAACACCATCATTTTGTTTGTTTACAAACTGCTGGACAACGAATGTTTTCTCATCGGAGAAACCCAACTCTTTAGCTCTCTGAGTCTGCAGGACTTTTGGTATTGAAAATGGGTCATGTATGTCCACGCCTTCGTATTGCCCCCATATAACGGTACCTCCCGATATTAGATACTTTGTTGATTTTAGCGATATTAATCACAGGAATTGTTTCAAATTTGGTATTTGATGTCCGTAGTTGATAATACAGCCTAAGACAGAAAATTGTCTATGCATATACCATATAACGGTACCTCCCGTTATATGGGGATATACGAAGACGTGAACCTGCACAGACAATTTTCTGTCTTAGGCTGTAATATCCATTAAGAACTTCAAATACCAAATTTCGCTATCGCTATGATTTTAGCTTTATTATTAACGATTTTTTTCAGTTTCGCATTTGAAACTTGTAATGGCTAATGACAAATTTTACCTATGCAGGTCCATGTCGTCGTATAGACCCTAATATGAGAGCTACATTCGGTATTTTTAAGATTTTAACAGAATTAAATTTTTTTGTTTTGAGAATTGCCAAAATTTTTCCAAATACAGCTTTTTTACTTCTTATGCTTTAAAAAACGCTTACCGGGCCTCCTAGTTTTTTAAATAAAATTATTATCGAAGTCATACCTTGCACTATACAGCAATTTTATTTGGCACTAGAGGTAAATTCACAATATAAACTTTTTTGTTACGGGAGCTCTAGTAAACACTCATAATCGGTCCGCCCGATCATTGACCTTTCCTTATTAGTTTTAAATTATAATTAGGAGTTCGCAGAACTCCAGAAAAATAGAAAATTTTCTATAAAAGTTCACAGCTTCATATAGC